TTGGCGCCATCTATAGCGGCGCCTTCGTACTATCATCGAACTCGAGCGTGTCTGATTCGTTGTCCGATGGCGGTGAAAGGTTGATTTCTCACACGCTGGTTTGATAGAAGTTCAGGGTTCACTCGGACTATGGTCGCATATGTAGCGCGGACCCATTTTTGAGATCATGTGCGCTCGCAATCTCGCAGAATTGCGACAGAAACAATGGCTGCCCGTCGGGACTGCTAGTGCCCTCTGTGATCTGCACGCTAAGGTGCCTGGCCAGGCTAGCAGACGACGCTGCTCCGGCGAATCGATGCATCGAGTGAACCAACAGGGGGAAACCTTTCTGACGATAGCGGTCATATGCATATGTGTGCACAGGGTATTCTGATAAGAGGGGGCAGGTCTGACTCTCTCACCATGGCACATATTTATTTTATTTAGGTATTTTAAAAATGTTCATTCTGTAGCACCGTATAGGCTTCATCTGTCCTACTAACCTCACTGAGCCCTATTATATCCCATTTAACACCCTCTAACTCCTCGAATAGTACAGCTAGACTAGCTCACTAGATAAGGTTCAAGCGTTAAACGTTGCCAAGTTCAGGTTATATATATATATATATATATATATATATATATATATATATATATATATATATATATATATATATATATATATATATATATATATATATATATATATATATATATATTCCAGGTTCAGGTTCGGGGACGAATTGCAACTCATGATTACGGAGTTAGACAAGGAGAGCAGAAAGGTTTTGTCTTAAAATTAATCTGCAGAAAGCGAAAGTAATGTACAGCAATTTCGGAAGAGAGCAGCGCTTCGAGACAGATAACAGTCCACTTCAAGTTGTAAAAGACTATGTCTACTTAGGGCAGGTGATAACCGCGGAGCCGAACCACGAGATTGGAGTAACTAGAATAAGAATGGGGTGGAGCACATTTGGCAATCACATTCAAATTATGACAGGTAGATTGCCACTACCCTCAAGAGGAAGGTATATAACAGCTGTATCTTGCCGGTATATACTTAGCTACGCAGCAGAAACCTGGAGACTCACAAAGAGGGTTAAGCTTAAATTGAGGACGACGCAGCGAGCAATGGAAAGAAAAAATGGTAGGTGTAACCTTAAGAGACAAGAAGAGAGCAGAGTGGATTGGGGAACAAAGGTGGTTACGAACATCATAGTTGAAATCAAGAAGAGGAAATGGACATGGGCCGGGCATGTAGCGTGTGGACAGGATAACCGCTGGTCATTAAGGGTAACTAACTGGATTCCCAGAGAAGGCAAGCGGGTTAGGGGGAGACAGAAGGTTAGGAGGGCAGATGAGATTAAGAAGTTTGCGAGTATAAATTGGCAGCAGCAAGCACAGGACTGAGTTAACTGGCGGAACATGAGAGAGGCCTTTGTCCTGCAGTGAACGTATAGTCAGGCTGCTGCTGCTGCTGATGATGATGAAACTGTTCATCTTATGTCGTCAAACTCACTTATGATCGAGTCGACTCTTACTCACTAAGTTCGGGTCGCGAGTCGGTGTCTGAATGAGGCCGGGTGAATAATATTGGAGTGTGTTTGAGCCCGAGTGAGTCCGGCTGAGAAAAATATTAGTAAGTCTGAGTCCGAGTCAGTTAGACTGAGGAAAAAAAAATTACGCCATCTCCAAATAAAGGGAACCATGTGTAGATGCGTAGTAGCGGGTGTTAACGCCTACGCTGGCGGCGGCGTTGACGCTAGCGCTCATCGCGGCGTCGCGCATGAGAGAAACCTGTAGAGGCGCGGAGTACTCAGTGGTGGGCCGGTGTTTCTTACTGGAACATGCCAATCGCTGCTAATGGGCAATGAGAGACAGAATACGCAGATTGGACAAAGAGACCCGCAGTCGGCTATGATAGTTAACGTGCACGCTGTGGATTTTTGTTCAACAACGCACAGGATAAATTTCCCACTGGTTCTACCTTGAAGGTCAAGATCCAGTGCCTATAAATGTGGGCAATGCGGGGTGGCCAGTGAACGATTTTGCAGCGTGAGCAGTCGGTTTTCCTTTTTTAAATAAGAAACTCTCTAGCAGACGCTACCTGCCAACGTTACTAGAACCAGGTAACGTTGCTACCTGCGTTGGCGTTGTCAGGTGAGAGTGGGGGCTTTTTACGAGTGATTTTTGAGCGTATTCCGTGATTTGTAGAGAGTAGAGAAAGCAATTTTTTTTCGCTGAATTCGATAATTTATTGCGACTTCCATCCGCGTGCTGCACTATAATATTTGGCTCGCGTATGGTCGGGATATCGGCAACGTTTTCTGACCATGCTCAAAAAGTGTTGCAGGGTCCTTTTAAGTAGTATCGGAATCGTCGGCCATTTCTTTATCTCTTTTTTTTCCCTCAACCAAGCGTTTATTCGCTCGCACGGCTGCAAGAATTGACTGAAATGCTCACAGCAGTGTCATCTTTTGGCGGTGTTTTGTTCGCAGTGACATGCAACAACTCGTATGACATAAACAAAGACCACATAATAAACATCGGGGTTCGGGGCGGAATTGAACCGAGGTGTCCTTTGTGGCAGTCGGGTATTCTCCCACTAAGGAAACGAATAGAGCGCAAGTGCTTTGCCGCGTGCAGAGGTGTGATGTAGAGTGGCATGCAGAGGAGTATATAGAGTTGCACCGTGTGGACTGTGTAACAAGTATATAGTTACCAACCGTCCAGGATTTTGCGGGACTGTCCCGACTTTTCGTGCACCCGGGTCTCACGTCGTCCTTGTCGGGACTGCTAGATGTCCCGGATTCGTTCCGGACCGTTCACTTAAATATTTTTACGTGATCCAACGCGCCTCGCGATAAGGAACACGAACTTTGCACTAATCGCATGTACAAAACAAAGTTTTGGTAGCTGCGGCTGCGAGAGGCTCTAGCTGCTTTGGCTCAACTGCCACGTGAAGTTCGACATATTTTACGAGTACATAATTCAGCAAGATGAAGTGCTGTGAACAGCACTTGGCCAGCTGAAGTGGTTGCAGAGGCCGCAATTATAAAGAAACAACTGATCTGTCTGAAACTGATTCTGCTGGCTCACTACATAGTGGCATGACCCTCCCCCCCCCCCCTTCCAGACTTCCTTCATTGAAGAGTTGGTAACCCTAGGAACTAGTGGGTGATCGAAAGCTGCCGACCTTTACACATCACACACATCAATGCAGACGCTGACCGTGAAAACGCGGTAATACAAAAACTCGTGACAGCACGGAACATTGATGCACGCGATGTATCCAGAGACCTGAGGGCGGGACTGCAAGTTTTGTCCACCGGACACACGCAATATGCAACCTGCACCACATGATGCTGGAGTGAAGCATCATCGAGTGAAAACGAAGAGAAAGAAGTGGATTCAGTGGAAGTATTTGAAAATCAATGGGGAAACCAGCGTGGCTGTGGGCCACTGTCCGAGGTTCTACTCTCTGCTGGTCATGCAGGTCCCTGAAAACAGATACCATTTATGAACAGGACTCGGGCGGTGGCAGTGAATTAAGGCTTCCTGAACTGAGCAGCCCACTGAAGTACGAGGAGCCTGGTCTAAACTCATTTCTCTCTTTCTACAGCACCGACAAAGATGATTATGATTAGGAGCTGGGAACCGCGGAAATTTGTGAGCCGCCACGCCAGGGTGCGCAGAGCCGAATCCACTCTTCGGTTCTTGAGCTCGTACTCTCCCAGGACTTATAAATATCGAAAGCTAGCGTGGGTCCCAAGGCCTCTTGGGACGCCAGCGAGACGTCGCAGCACTGACCGTGACACCATGTGGCCCGCGTCTCGCATGATCTTAGTTTCTCTCAACCCTGATGCTCCTCCCAACTATACCCAACGCAGCTGCAGCACCCAGTGTCTTGAGCACCGAATCATAAAACTAGTTCACAGCTTCCACCTTTGAGTCTTCATAGGCGACTGCTTAGCAGTTTTCTGCCCACCACCGGATGTACCTCACCTGCCACCATGCTATGGTGCCGCGTGACGAGGTCATTCGTGTGACGTCCCAAACGTTGGCGATGTGCGACGTCATCACGTGGTGACGATCTTTTTTGCATCGCTCATTCCTGACGCCGGGGGACGCCGATGGTCTAGTTTCGTGTATGATGAAGTATCTATGGGTATCCATGCTTACTGGTCCTAGCACGCAGCTATTATTTGCACGCTACAGATGTCAGAGCGGCCTGATCGGTGTGCTTTAAACGGACAGGCAAACAACAGCACTGACCACAAACCGCATCTGTAGAAGGTGACTGCCACTTGAAGACACCGAGACAACGAGGACGATTTTGGCAAGGTGGCAAGGTTAATACACAGGATACGCGCTTCCACATTTCAAAATGAAGGACCTTCAGTCACTCAGCCAATCAATCAATTCCGTTGAATGGACACTGAATTGAAACAACGGCTTGGTTTAGATTCATAAACTGCTGAGAACCCCAATTCCTTAAGTTTTAACGTGATAAGTTTATTATTAAAAAAGAAAATCAAGGTTGAAGTTTCGTTTTGAAATTTGGCGACGAGCACGTGACGTCACTGATTTCAAAATGTACTTCTCGTTTTTTTTTCTCTGCGTTGGCTTGACGATATTCTCTGAAACTTAGCATCTTAGGGAACCCGCACAGATGAAAATGTAGTACTTTATTTTTACGGATTAGGTACCTCGTGGGACCCAAGACGCCGTCAAAACTTTCTACGTTATACGGCGTCGTCTGGTGCGGAAATCCTAAACGAGCGTCTTCACCCGCACTTTGTTTTCGCGCATTTACTTGCTTACCGAACGTCGTCTCGCGGTAAGGCGGTTGTTTTCAGATTTGCGGAATTTCACTTTACTACTACGCAAAATATCGTTTATCTCTTTCGTGTCCATTTAAGACCATTTGCAATAAGTTAACACTTGTGTGTGTTGGAGGTACAAATGCGGTCATTGTCATAAGTATATCGTCTGATATCTGACTGTACGTGCGGTCCCAGGAAGGCGAGCCCGGATACACGTACCTGGAGAAGAGGTGCACCTTGCTCCACAAGACTTCCGGCCAGCGCGCCTCCTGGTCCGGAAACCTGCAGGGCGCGGGAGAAGACGAAATCGAGGTACGTACATACGCACAGCATCGCGAGCAAACGAGCAATGTTGAGGTAATGATTTTACTATTTGCAAACAAAGCCCAACCTTATTGGTTCTGGACCATGAGTCATCCGCCGAGGCGGTGCACCGGTTAGGGCGTTCGGCTGCTGGTCTGAAGGTCAAGGGTTCGATTCCGGTTGTGGCGGTCGCATTTTTACGGAGGCGAAATGCTATATAGTGGCTCGTGTGCCGCGCGATGGGAACGCGCGTTAAAGAACGACGGGTGGTCGAAATTCCCGGCGCCATAATCGTATCGTGGGTTTGGGACGTAAAGCACGAGGTATTATTATTATTATTATTATCGTCGTCCTTGTTGTTGTTGTCGTCATCGTTGTCGTTGTATATGGAGTGTGTGGCATGGCCAGTGCGTTGGTTACTCTTCACGCCATGTTTACCGCATAATCGGGTGTCTACGTAAACTGAAGCTTCCATAGAGATGATATAATCAAATTCCAGGGAATCTGCCAAGTGTTTCGCAGCGTAACTCGGTGACGTATGGGCTCTTTTTGAACGTAGCGGTTATTGCGCGCGTAAATACGTTGACCCTTTCTTCTCATAACACGTCATAGCATGCGATATGATCAAAACGACAGCGAGACACCCAAATGGAGCGCCGTCACCCTCCTTTTTTTTTTTTTCTCTCTCGTTCGAAGGAGGCTGCGCCAGACCCGTGCTCCGTCGAAGCACAGCACCGCGGGGAGGAGGTTCTGCAGTCCGTGTACCACGTGGTCTACAGCGCCAGCTACGGAGTGCCCGTCATGTACTTCAACGTCTGGAGACGCGGTGATTTATTATATACCTTGTTCACGTACAAGCCAAAAGGACGTCCTATACAGTCTGCATTCGTACATTTGTTTTTTAAAGTTTCGATATGCATGTGTTCTTTATTTATGCCTTCCGTAGTTTCATCGCTAGTTGAGTGTTCTACATAATTCTACTGTGTACACTTGTCTGGTTTGTAGTCAGTGCTAAGGAATGTTGCCGGGCTAGTTGGTTGAGATTGGTTGGTTGAGCGCTGCGTGTGCGTGCATCTCTCCTTTGTGTGTGTCCTTGTCGTGGTGCGCTATACCTGTGAAAATGTAGTCAGTGGCAGGCTAAAAATAACGAGTACACTATCGCACTATTGATTGGTGTTATGCGCGTCCAAGTAGAGCTACCCTTTGCTATAGCGTAACGATTAGGTCGAAGCAATAAAAAAAAAGCTGTAATCCATGCGTACACAGCATCATCCTCGCCGGTCGTCGTACGATGCCGTTGAAGTATGCGATTGTGCCTCGTTTGACGTACACTGCACAGGCGGTCTGCAGCAGCTCGGAGTGTTTTGCTTTTCCGCAGCGCGAAGTAGAAACACGGCGGAAGCACGAAAAGTAAGGGCAATGCGGCCTGGCGTGTGGAGCCTATATTTTTGTTAGGCTGTCACAGACTACAGACATGTCACCTATTGCGACGTTCCTCTGTCTCACCACAGTTCATTACTTCAACTCTTCCACATACTTCTGCAACGAACTTCTCACTTCTTTTCGGATCTCTTAGCAGTAGTCGTAACCGACACTTCTCCCGTGCATTCCTCGATTGTCTCCCTCCTTGACAACATAATTTCTCACGGATTATCTGTGACGCAGACGGCAGCCTGCTTCCTCTGAGTGACGTATGGTCGCTGATGCCGGAATGCATGCAGGAGCAACTGAAGCATCTGCGATGGTCCACCGTCACGCAGCAGGTGTGTATTATAGAGAGTCGATTTTCTGGACACTTGTACAAGTCTGCGTATACGTACACTTGTCAAAAGGAATTGAAGTAAAGCAAACAAGGGCGACGAAAATCGGTGTACTTTGCGGAATTTGATGTTAACTATCGTGATTTAATACTACACATCGCCTAATATCTCATGGTTGAGTACCTACATCCTGGAGGCCGTATTTTATTCCTATTTAGTTTCCGAACTTTGCCAACACGCAACTGGGCGTGACATCCCCACGCTTCTGCCACGCCCGTGTGGGGTCGGAATCAGCCAATCGCGTGTTAGCTTAGTGAACTCTTCGCAAACGAGATTGTTACAGAATGCAGCACGTGTTGTCCCTGATTCGATAACAGGGCTGTTGGGCGAGCTGTATAATTGCCTCAATGATGCAACTTGGCAGAATTTGGCGGTGAGTCGGGCAGGGCTATATTCTAGATGCGGTGCCAGATGTAGAGGGCGTGTGATATTAATCACTCTATACCTCTAGGATGGATGGGTGGATGGATGGGTATGGCTGTACCCTTTACATCGGGCGGTGGCTAGCGCCACCAAGCCGTAATACTTAATGAACCAAAAACTATATTTATTTTTTTTCTTTAAATAGTGGGGTTGGAGATTCTTACTTTGCAGTGAAGGGTTTAAATTTCACTCGTGCCTTGACTTTGGCCACCAATCAGATAACCTCCTTCTAGTTAATTCTACCCACTTAACATTTATTTTGCCCTCCCTGTCCCTAAACCCCAGTGCTTTGAAAAACTCTGCGCCATCATCCTGAGCAATAGGGTGAAGCCCTTAACAGAACATTATCAAGTGTTCGGCAGTTTCTTCTTCCTCTCCACACGCACTGCATACCGTGTCTACCCCTTCGTATTTGGCCCGATATGTCTTGGTTCGCAATACTCCTGTCCTGGCCTCAAACAGTAGAGAACTACCCCGAGTATTATCATAGATCCTTTCCTTGGCAATTTCCTGCTTAAAAGTTCGATAGATCTCTAGTGCGGACTTCTTAATCATACCAATTCTCCACATATCGGTCTCAGCTTCCTTCACATTCTTCTTAAGCGATAATTCTTTTTGGTTTGGCCCCCTGCTCTTTTCCAAGTATTTACCAGTCAATTTTCTGGTTCGCTTCCTCCATTTTGTATCGACATTCTTCATGTACAAGTAGCTGAATACCTTCCTAGCCCAACGCTCCTCCCTCATTTCTCTCAATCGCTTCTCAAATTTTATCTTGCTGCTAGCTTCCCTGCCCTCAAATTATGTCCATTCCATATCACCTTGCACTCCCTCATTTAATGTATTCCCGTGAGCTCCTTAGGCAAGCCCACCTATCCACGTTGCTTAATTTCTAATCTTGCTTGAACTTCTGATATAATGCACAAGACCGCATTGCCGAACGTCAGACCAGGAACCATGACAACATTCCATATTCCTCTCACAACATCAAACCTATTGTAATTCCACAGTGCCCTATTTTTCATCACTGCTGCACTCCCGCTAACTTTAGTCTTCACGTATATTTCGTGTTCCCTTAGGTACTCGGTCCCATTGCTTATCCTACGCCCAGATATTTGTATTTTTATCTGTTATCTCTAGCGTGACCTCCTGTATTCTAAGCTCACTACCTTCATCGTCATTAAAAATCATGACTGCTGATTTTTCCTTACTGAATCTGAAATCTAACCTATCTCCCTCATTACCGCAGATGTCCACCAATCTCTGCAAATCTTCCTTGTTCTCGGCCATTAGCACTATATCATCTGCGTACATCAATGCTGGTAGTGCCTGTTCAATGAGTTTTCCTTGTTTGACGAAAGAGAGGTTGAAGCCCAGTCCACTTCCCTCTAATTTGGGCTCTAATCCTTGTAGGTACATCATGAATAATAATGGTGACAAGGGACACCCCTGCCTAAGCCCCCGTTTTACCTCCGCAGGCTTGGATACCTGTTTTTCCCACTTTATAATTACCTTGTTACTTTTATAGATATCCTCTAAAAAAAAAGTGACTACATCTTCCACGCCTAGTGTGTACAGTATTCCCCACAATTCCTCTTGAACCACGCTATCGTACGCTCCCTTGATATCCAAAAATGCTAGCCACAGGGGCCTGTGTTCCTTTTCTGCTATTTCGATGCACTGCGTCAGTGAGAACAGATTGTCTTCCAACCTCCTGTGTTTCCGAAACCCATTCTGTAGTTCCCCCAGCACCCCCTCATCCTCTATCCACGCCTGCAGTCTTTCCTTTATAATCTGCATCACCAGCCTGTAGACCACTGATGTCACTGTTATAGGACGGTAGTTGTTTATGTCAGCTTTGTCCCCCTTTCCTTTATAAATCATGCTCATCCTGCTAAGTTTCCATCCATCGGGAACTTATCCATCGATTATTATTTTGTTCACTGCCTCCTAAAAGCCTGCTTAGAGTTCGGACCTAATTTCTTTATCAGCATAATTGGAATGCCATCTGGGTCTGTTGATGTACTACACGAAACCCTTTTCTCAGCCCTTTCCCACTCTCGTTGTGAAAATGGAGCCATTGCGCCACTTGATTCATCCTTGTCTATTGTGGTGCATAAAGCACTTCTTTGTTGAAATTTTTCTGTCACCCTTGTTCTTATATATTCAATAGCTTCGTCCCCTTCTAGCCTAGCACCTTGAGCTGTAGTTATAAACCTCTGCTCTAGGCTCGTCTCATTTCTTAGGGAGTTTAGATGGTTCCAAAATTTCGCAGCTGCCTTTCTATCTTTTTTATGTACTTCTGCCAGCCACTGAGCTCCCTTTCTTCTAATGTTTTCATTGATCAGAAGGAATGCATCCCTTCTACAGCTTAGAAAGATTTTCCTTTTTTTTCAACATCATCTGTTGGTTCACCCCGCTGCTTAGCATGTCTGTGTTCACTAGAGGCTTTCTGACGTTTTGCTATGACTCTCCTAACTTCCTCATCCCACCAACTTTTGGGTTTGTGTCTTCTTTACCGGAGTGCCTTGGCAAGCTCTAGCTCAAACAGTCTAATTAGATTCCTGTATGTCCACACTGTTTTATTATCCTCAGTGATTACTTTCTCGATTTGTTTAGTGGCTATTTCTATTTGCCTTTCTGAGTAAAAATTTTCCTGCAGTTGCTCATCTTGTCTCCTCTCCACTTTCACTGCTGTTCTAAAACTTACCTTGATACGTTTGTGATCACTACCCAGACTTCTGGAGCCACCTTCATCTATGTGCATTCCCCTGAGCTTATCATACATCCTATGTGACATCAGTGCGTAATCTATCGTCGACTGTAGCCTTCCTACATCCCATGTTATTTGCCCTTCACACTTCTCGGTACTGTTGCAAATGATGAAATCAAGCCTTTCACACATATTCATGATCATTTTGCCTGTCGGGTCGGTATATACCCATCTATACCTTCTATGTGCGCATTCATATCTCCTAGTATAATTATCTCGCACGGGTACATAAAGTGGTGGTGGTAGTGGTTAGAAGAGGAGAAAGACACCTAATTACTGCAGCCCGGTTGGTAGCACGGCGCAGTGCCTGGTACATAAAGTATGGTGTACTAATAATAAACGGGTTCACCTGTGTTGGGAACGCGGAGCGTGCGTCTCGTTACTGCGTCCCTGGCCGCCTCTGCTCGAACGCGCCCACTACACCAGAGTCCGCCATATATCGTCTAAATCTGTAATATTATGTAATATTCAGAGCCAATCGGAGAACCCTTTGTAAAAGATTACAATGATATGTGGGGTTCATGCCCCAAAAGCACGATATGATCATGAGAGGCGCCCTAGTGTGCACAGGCTTCGGAAATTTTCACCATCTGGTGTTCTTTAACGCGCACTGACATCGCACAGAACATGGGCATCTATACCATTTCGCATCCATCGAAATTCGACGGCCGTGGCCGGTATCGAACCCGCCACCTTCGGGTCAGCACGCCAATGTGCTTACCGCATTCCTCCATGGTGCAGGAGCACCCGATCCAGGGCGTCCCCTACTTCCAGTTGCACCCGTGCAAGACGGCCGAGCTCATGGAACAGACTCGACCAAAGCACCAGGACGGGTGAGTGCTTATTTCACTCTGTATTTGGCCGATAATCTTGCCAGTTTTGTGTCCATAACACCTGCACGAACGGCGCTCCAGTATAAGCTGACGCACGCATGAAGACAGTTGCGCGGTTGCATTCGGCGTGCTGTTGTCTTCCATATCCGACGTCGGTGGTATATACGGGCGCAGTGTTCTACGGATCGGATAGAGGTTCGAATTAAACCAAAGACAGACACGACCCCTGCACGTCGGCGTTGGCCTTCCATCGCTTCGGGGTATTTTCGCAGCCGTCGTCAATTTGCCCTTCCCTATGTCCCTCGTTGTTCGCATGCTGCAGTTGGGGTGGACGGTCCGCGCCGTCGCTTCGTAGCTATCGTCGTTTGTTTGTTTCCTTATGGCGCATACACTATGGGGAATTGGCCAAGAAAGCGCAGCGTAGCCTTCGAGTGAGCACTACAATGCTGCTTATTAATATTTTTTATAAAACCAACAAAAGACATAAAATACAAATAATGTATGAAAATTGCGAAGAACGATGGAAGAAGAAACAGCAAAAAGTGAAATTATAAAATTTTGAACTGACCAGATACCTGCGCTGAATTCAACCAAGCATTTAGAATATATGCATTAAAACGCTTATTAATGTTACTTCAACAGTATTTATTGGATTCGCGTTTAGTTGAGCTACCTTGCCTTCTTGATCTTTAGTGTACCAGTGGTGAGTAATGGTATTCACCCACCTTCTGTTGCATGTACCCGTTTATATGATAATATTTTTTTCTGATATCAGTCAGTCAGTCAAGAACTTTATTAAATAGTCCTGAGGAGTTTAAGCCACCAGGGTGTCCACGAGGGACACTCTAGCAGCCGCTACTGTAGGTGACGCCCGAGTCGGAGCGGGAACGTGGTGGCGTTCTGCCAGTTCTTGGGCCCTCGGGACTGAATTTTGGTTTCTGAGACTGGGGCTCCTGAGTGCCTCCTCCCAGTCGAACTCACTGGTGAGAGGTCCTCGAGGTAACGCGGGACATTGCCAGAGCATGTGTTCGAGTGAACAGTACACTTCTGAGCAGTCTGGGCATTGTGAACCTGTCCGAGTTGTAACGGCTGAGTCGGCCCCGTGATGGGTACGATATCGTTTGTAGCATGCGAAAAGCTACCTCTTGCGCGCGTTCGAGCTTTGCATGTGGTAAAGGGTATTGACTTCCATCGTTTCGGTAGGAGGAGGTAATTTCGTGAAAGGTGACTAAAGGATCATTAAACTGTACGTCTGGGCCCAGCTCTTCGGTGGGTGATTGATCGTCGCGGCAGGTCAGTTCTCGCGCTCTATCATGAGCAATTTCGTTGAGGTTGGGTTGCTGTGGGTGGACCTCTTTGCCCATGTGGCTAGGGAACCAAGAGAGGTAGCGCAAGCCCATGCATTTGCGCGTTTGTAGAACGTAGCTCCTACTCGAGCGATGTTGCCGATTTCGTAAGCCCGAATGGTGGTGTCAGAGTCTGTGGAGACATGGGTGTGTGAGAGGTCTATCATTGCTAAAGCTATAGCAACCTGCTGGGCTATGGCGCTCGTTGCTAGCCTAACCGAGGCGCTGAGCGTAGAGCTCCGTCGCCATATACTACCGCTATAGTGCGAAGGTGGAGGCGTTATTGTATTACGTCGCATCGACAAAAATGGTAGAGTTGCGATTCGCAGCGGTACGGTTGAGGATCGCGCGAGCGCGGGCCAGACGTCTGCCTTTGTTGTGTTGCGGGTGAACATTTTGCGAAAATGAGTTTACCACGTAGTTAGCGCGGACAGCTCTGGGGAGGGTTACTGCGCGTTCAAGGTAGGGATGTGGGGACATGCCAGCCCCGCTTAGAAGTTGGCGGCCTGCCTTGGAGAAGGAGAGGCGGATCCCTTGGGTCGTGGTCTGGGCCTCGATCCCTTCATCGATGTTGTTGTGCATGCCTAGTTATTCGAGACGAGAAGTACTCGTGTTTTGAGGTAAACCAAACACTTGTTTAATATTTTTGCGCATGAGTGTGTGTAGTTTTATCTTTTCCATTTTCGTCCAGTTGTGGGCACAGGCAACGTAATTGATCTGGCTCATGAGGAACGCGTGGTATATGCGCAGAAGGCTGGTCTCTCCAAGGCATCGTCTGTGACCCGACACTCGCTGAATCAGTCGAGGAATGTTTTCCGTTTTTGCTGTGATGTGTGTTACCGTTAGTGCATGGCAGGTATTCTGCACATATTTCTGTGGCTCGTACCCCCTTGTGATTGGACCAACTGTTGTCTGCTTCATGTTTAGTGTGCCTGCGGTGAGTAGTGAGATATTGTAACGAATTATTATGCATGATTGTTGTTGTTTTTTTCATTCAGGCCGCACAGTGGCGCACACAAGAGAGACAGCACAAATTGTATTGCTTGCGTGAACAGCTTCGTTAAAAAAACTACTTTTAAAGGGTGCAAAAGAGGCATAGTTTCGCTTTAAGGGCGAAACAATGATTGCGACAGAGACAAATAAGAATCTGAAACGATTAACGGGAAACAATTAGATGCTTGCGAAGTGTCGCTCAAGCGCAAAGAACACGCACAAGGAACACACACGGGACGAGTGCGAAATCAAAGCTCGACACTCGCACTGCGCTGCTCAAACACAACGAAGGACGCTCGGAAAAAACGCGCAGCCATATACGTACAGGATGAACGGGAACTAACAATGTCACAGATGTTACATATTTGTGTTTGATCATTCGCTCTACAACTGTCCACTGCGCCAGCGCCTCCTTGTTGGACATTCGTGCGCATCCTGCGTCGCGGTTTCGTTCAAAACATTGCCTGCCCGCCATTCCACGTCGCAAATTAGCTTCTCTTAGTCTAACCTTGTCACGCGTAACCAAGAGAACAGGCGAGAAAGAAAAGAAGGCAAAAGAAATGAATGACCATTTCTCGTCTCATTTCCTAGATGGCGTTGCTCTGCTGCTATGCTTTGAAGTGGCGCTATTCTCCGATTGGCTGCAGCGCGTGCTTTGTCTGAGTGCGCGGACAACGAGGACCCCTTTCAGTGTCTTGAATAGTCGCCGTACATGGCGGATCGTTGGTGGGGCATGGACGAAGAAGAGTGGCGGGTGTGTTGAAGACGCTTGCGCTCGGCTTCCTTGGCTCGCGTCTCGTCAGTGTTACCCGCGCGCCGTCTGCATTCTCCAACGCGATCGGACGCATGCACAGGTAGACGGACGGGTGCTTCGTTCCACTCATCACCATTCGCTCCGTGTATATGCTGTGCTTTTTAAGTGTGAATACACTTTATAAACGACCCCAAAACATCCACCGCCGTCGGCGGCGTCCGCAGTCTTCTCTCTACCTTTAAAAGAAAGGGGACTTGGCGGGCCGCAGCGCGACGCTCTACCGAATAAGCCACGGACGAGACGCTGATATCGGTGTCAGTAACGCGCCTTATACCTCCTCCCCCTTCGCCCGCTCCTCCGCTCTCCTCGCTCGCTGCAGCTGCGCGCGCACCCCTCTCTCTGGCGCGCCCGCCTTCTCTCTCAGTCTCCCGTTGAGAGCGGGTTGTGAGGGGGAGTAAAGTTAAAATCCGTTGGCATTCGCCAGTGAGTTAACGTAAACTTCCCCGTGTGATCAAATTGCGATTCCCAGGAACCATTACACCATAAAGGCACCATGGTGTGATTAATAAATATAATAGTGCGAATTAATAAATACCCCTCATAGCATCACCCCGTGTATTCGCACTTAACCATGTTCACCCTCGGGGAAATGCTTGGGAGTTTTTTATAGGGCGTGTATCAGTTCAAGCAAAATGTATGGACATTCGCACTATCTCGCGGGTGGTACTTCACACGCCGATGCACTTCCGAGATCGGCGTAGCACCAGCGGTAATGGTGCTTACGAATTGTTTCACTGTTAGTAAACCGAAGAACGAGTGGCACGTGGCAAAGCTGACGCAGCGCGCTGCGGAGCGAGAAGCCACCGTGATTATAATTGTGGTGGCGCAATTTGTAAACTTATTTGTGGCTTGTTTTCCTACGTAAATGCATGTACATATACGGACATGGCAGCTACGGCAACCATTCGCTTAGAGTGTCCATATAATTGCAATAACAGTAAAGTGGAGCGACGGCGCGCTGCTAACGACGACGTGCATTTGGCCCATGGATTTCAGGCCTAAAGGTAGCGAGTGAACCTTTCTTGTAGTGCGAGATTAGTTGACTCCGGCCGCCATTATATCTATATATGGTCAATAACCTGCATCACAAAACCGAGTACACTTAACAAAAACGGGGCATGCCAGAGTGAAAGATATGCGGCACCGCCGCGGTGGTCTAGCGGATAAGGTACTCGGCTGCTGACCCGCAGGTCCCGGGATCGAATCCCGGCCGCCGCGATCGCATTGCCCGTGGAGGCCAAAATGCTTGAGGATCTCGTGTACTTAGATTTAGGTGCACGTTAAAGAGCCCCAGGTGGTCGAAATTTCCGGAGCCCTCCAGAACGGCATCTCTCATATGACATGGCGGTCTTGGGACGTTAAACCCCAACAATTGTTAAAGATGTGCGGCTGACCTACAGCGTCTCCCTGAGGTAATTGGGGACACAGCCTAATTTGTGCGCTCGCCTATGGACGTCACGTCGTGCGAAGCAAATGTTCAAGAAAACCCAGTCACGACACACGTACTGCGTAACTGTTTATCACGGCTACGCTTCGTAGAGTAAATGCAGTAAATACAATCCGCCATTTTGGTTACCGATCAATGATTTATTGAACGAAGGAATGCATAGCTGTACGGGGCTATACTTCTGAAGTGTTGCGGTTCCAGAGATCAACCGAGAGTAGAGTCAATATATTTCGAGGCGGGGATTAAAAAATAAAGGAGAGCACTGCACGTACAAAGAAGTGCAGTGCAGTGTAGCAAGCTGGATGCTCGTCTGGTTAACCTCCCCGCCTTTCCTTGCTTGCTCCCTCCCTCCCCCCCCCTCTCTCTATCTTGAGACTGTTTCTTCTTGCCACGTTTAGCAATGGCGTCGCTTTGTTCGCCTGTCCTCGTACTGCGTGAAATGGGAATGCCCCTTGTCCTGCTGCTACTGCTTTTTTTTTTTCAGGAAGCACAGCAATTACGTGGTCACGTGGCTCAGTTCGGTGGCTCCCGTGGTTGGCCTGGAGTTTCCCGTTCAGTACTCGGCCATCGCTGCACCGCCGTCCTCCTGACGTCCTGCGGAACTTTGTGACGGACGTCTTCCCGTTACGTTCGCAAAACGGCTTCCCGTTACGTTCTGTACGAAGGGCGTCTTTTCTGGACTGCGATGCACGAGTCGCACGTACCTGGAGCACATTGAACGAACGTGCGCTGCTTGCCTTGCCACTTCAGCTGCGAGTGCCATGGTCCAACATCTCTGTTTGTCTTATTCAGTTGCTTCTTTTTTTCAATCGCGTCGGAAGCAGTAATAAAAACAAGAGAACGCCGTGGTGTGTAATTTAAACTCCGCTTTTTGTGTTCGCTCTACGCGTTGATGTTGGTTGGTCACCATGGTGTGTTCCATACTCACCGAAGACGGCTAAGTGTAAACATTTGTCGTTGAAGTATCTGCCTTTATTATGTTGTGCAGTAGTTGAAACATTAGTTTTAGCCTGCTTAGTTTCGTTTGGTTTTGTAGTGTCAAAATACGAGCGTTCTTAAGTAGGTCTGTCGGTGAGTCAGTCAGTCTATAATTTTTAAAAATGCATCTTGTTTTTGTTTGAACTACTTCTGTTTTATTAATCTCTTGGTGGGTAAACGGGAACCAGACAGGGCTGGAACACTCTAGTACAGATCTGACGAGGGTTGTATAAGCTATTAGTTTGATATTCGGTGGTGCGTCCTTAAGACATTTCTGTAAAAATAGTATTTTCAGGGCTGCGCTAGTTATGTTATCAATGTGAGTATCCCATCTAAGATCATTTGAAATTGTTATTTCTAGATATTCGTGGTTAGAGACTGGTTAAGGGGCAGTTGTCAACAGCGTAAGAAAAGTTGGACCTGCCAGTGTTTTTTGCGGGTTGTTGCCACGGAAACGCATTTACCAATATTAAGGGACATTTGCCATTTTGCACCACTTGTGCACATACTATAATGACCTGTTCTGAGTTAGGTGATAGGTGGGAGTATTGATTTCTTGCTAAATTACGCAGTCATCTGCAAAGAGCCTAAGTTGTGCATTAGTCGAGAGGGGCAAATCAATAATGAATATTGCGAATAATATCGGTGCTAGGACCGCACCCTGTGACGCGGCTCACGTGACTGCTGTTGTTCTAGAGGTGGTGTCCTGTAACTGTACAAATCGTGAGCGATTGGTTAAGTAACCCTTAACCCAGTGAATAATGGTACTATCTCCTCGAGCAACTTTCAATTTACTCATTAATTTGGAGTGTGTTTCAATTTACTCATTAATTGGAGTGTGAAACACGATATAGTGGTTTTGAGAAATCTAAGAATATGAGGCCGATTTGTTTATGGCTATCGCTAGACTGGGCAGCATCGTGTATTAATTCTAAAGGTTGAGTAATCATTGAGACCATTTCAGAACCCGTGTTGTGCAGAAGGCAGCTTGTTTTTTTTTTTTCGTAGCTAAATACTTCTGTGTTTCAATACCATATGCTCTATTATTATACACACAGAACAAGTTAGTGATATCGGTCTGTTTTCTGAAACCACGGTATTGCTGCCTGCTTTGTGTATTGGAATAACTTCAACGGTTTTCCATATGACGGGAACAGTGCGTGAATGCAGTGATTCGTTAAAGATTAGACATAAATATCTTGCTAGCCACTTTTCATATCTTTTAAGGAAGACGTTGCTAAGTCGTTAGGACCCGGGCCCTTCTTGGCATCAATAATTTATAACTGGTTGAACACGCCTTGCTCGGTAACTGTAAGGAGTTCTATTGCTGAATGGTTGGAAGATTGCATGGGTGGTGTGTTTCCGTAATCTACGGTAAAAACTGACTGAAAATAATCGTTGACGGAGTTGACGAGGTCGTTGTTGTTTTGAGAAGAACGCATGGTCTTATAAATTTTTTTTTGGTTTTATATATTTCCAAATTTTATTTGGAGCGCTTATAAAAAATGTGGAAAGTATTTTTGCAAAGCAATTATTTTTAGCATCTTTAGATCCAACTGTAGCTAATAGCTACAGTTATATCGCGTCTCGTTGCAATACTCAGGATCGTGTTCAGTTTTTCTTGGACATTTTTCTTTCCGTTGAACATGCATTACGTCACTTGTTATCCACGGGTCTAGACGCCCAGTTACTTCTTATTTTTTTATCGGTACGTCTACTACAATTTGTTTCGATGTCAGTGGATAGGTTATCTGCGAGTGCTACGAATGAATCATATTCGAAAAAAATACAGTTGATTATGCTTGCGTCATCAGCATGGGTAAAGTCAGGATAATAAATTGATGTAATTGGCAGTAATTCACACTTAAAGCGCAATAAATCATTTTATGATCTGATATTCCCTCCATAGTTTTTGTTTTAGTAGCTCCTTGCGAGAAATGATCACTTAAGTTAACTAAATCAAGAATGTTCGACGATGATGCATTTACTCGCGTGGGATGGGCCACTACCTGATGTAAATTGAAATTGAATATTAGATCATTTAATTATTGTGAACTATCAGATTTAAAATACGTAATTTTCCAATCTATTTCGAACGTATTAAAATCGCCCATAAGGATTAGTCTGGCATTTGATACATGGCTCTGCACATAATTGCAAAGTGAAGCAAGACGTCGCTAGAAGCAGGGGGGCTACGGTACACACAGCTCACAGTGATGGCATGTACACCTATCAACAAGTTGCAAAATATTTTTTTTCTACTCCTTTAACGTCTGTAAGAACCTTGAAAGATAACTTTTAATTGACAAAAATAGCGACGCCACCACCAAGTGTGGGTTGATTTTTCCGTTTGATAGCGTAGTTGGGGCTACCTATTTCCTGTATAAAAGTTGATAGGCGGGCTAGTTGGTATATATTCACAATGAAATAATTGGGAGCGCGAACTAACGGGACACACTAATGGTGTCCCGCTGGTTTGCGCTCCCAATTATTTCATTAGAAACCTATTTCCTGACCACGAATGCCACTTGACAGCCAAGTTTCGGTAACTCCTACAAAATCGGGTTCTAGTTCTAGTAATAAAGATTCAAACAAATCAATTTGTTCATAGACTACGCGCGTTTAAATTGATGAAGGTTACTGCTTTTTGCGGTGCCGTAGCTTCTGCGGTTCGTCTTTTTTTTTTTTTGTTGCATAGGCGCTTGCATCATGGCTCACCGGAACGGGCTGATTATTTCCCCCATCCCTAGAAAAACGTTCACCAATAATCCAGAACTTGTCATAACTATAGTCGCTTTTGCTGCTGCTTCCTTTCTTTATTTACCACAACTCTGCAGATTCTTCATTATTTTGCCAATTTGGGCTGAGAAATACTCACCTATAGAGTAATTGATACCCTTTAACTTGGAACTTCTGCAGTACTGTTATTTTGTCGCGATTATCGTCAAGCCGCAAGATTATCGGTCTACATTTTTTCGCTTTTGCCTTTCCTAGCCTGTGTATCCTTTCTATGGCAACTGACTCGGTTTTGAGGATGTTTTGAACGATAATATCATTCACTGCTCTATCCAAAGTGCCACTTTTTTTTTTTCGCTATCCGGAACACCATATACTACGAGGTTATTCCTTCTAGACCGATTCTCAATCGTCTATCTGGAGTGCAAGTTTTCGAACTGTACTTCCTGAAGGGCAGATATTCCGGTTACGGAGTTGACTATTTTGCTGCCCAGGGCGCTAATATAGCCAGCTTCGACTCAATATCAATAAGGCGTTCTTCTTTTATTTCTTTTAAATTGTCTGCGCAACTGTGTAGCTGCTTTGAGAACTGGGTAAAACCAGGGCCGGGATTAATTTCTGCGTTTCCAGACAATAGCTGTAAATTTGCAGCACAATCTACAATACTAATTTGCAAGAAAGCAAATGAGCCGTGGGCTCGGCAGCATAATGAAAAACGGTTCGTTAGAACGAAAACATTTTCCATGGCGCCTGCTCACCTGCATGAAGTACAGAAGGGGAATAGCTGACCGCATCGTTGAGTGGCCACCGCGCCCTTCAGCCCACAGTCGATTAACGCCAGCATTTATATAGGCGAACCGGTGCACTTCGCTACACCAGGGAAAATGGCCCGGTGTCTTGTTGCCCATGCGTGGTCGTCGATAAAAGCAGCGCGGTCAAGGTTTAAAATCATCGGTGACGTGTACTGGTTTATTGCGGTGGAAAGCGGGGCTGCCACGTCCCGCGCCTATTGGTACGTCGTGTCCTGCTGGTCACTGCAGGCATCAGCTTTCCTCTGTGAGGATATCGTGGTAGTGATCGATCGCCGTAAGCAGTGTCGAAGTTTGGGCTTGTTGGTGCATTGTGATGACTGAGAACAGCCTAAACAAAACGGGGACACAGGAAGACGACACACGACACAAGATGTACTGTGGGTCACGATGCCGAGAAACCGAAGCGTCTAGTCGTCATACCATACTATCACAATATCGCACAACCTAAAAAAAAAAAAAGCTAAGCTCTGAAGTTAGGGTTGTCTTTTCGGCTCCCAATTAAGAAGTTGGCCAGCCCTTGTGCCTTGACCACGACGGAAACCCAAAGGTTGTAATAAGACGCATCGAACTGTTTTTTGTCCCCTGCATCATTTGCGTTGTTTCTCGTCACTCCGCTTTCTTATGGTAAAGAGTATTGGACAGACGAGCCGTTCCTTAATGATAGATTAGAGGACATCGTAATAACGCGAAAATGGCCAGGAGAGTTGGCTGATCATTCAGTGGAATCCCGCGGCTGCGCACCGAAATTCAATGCACTCGCAGTTGTCAAGAGAACATTTGACAAGCTGAGATTATTGAGGCTAAGGCTATAAGTGCGTCAGCACTCCCTCGCTTATGCCCAGTGATAAGGAATTAAGGTTTGTACGCATATCATACGTGTCATGCGATGTTATTATTCTGGTGATATAGGCGAACGTGTGGTGGTAATAAACATTATGTTGGAAGTTGGCACCTGTGTCGATTGATTTGATTGATATGTGGGGTTTAACGTCCCAAAACCACCATATGATTATGATAGACGCCGTATTGGGGGCTCCGGAAATTTCGACCACCTAGGGTTCTTTAACGTGCACCCAAATCTGAGCACACGGACCTACAACATTTCCGCCTCCATCGGAAATGCAGCCGCCGCAGCGGGGACTCGATCCCGCGACCTGCGGGTCAGCAGCCGAGTACCTTAGCCACTAGAACACCACGGCGGGGCAGTTAGCGCCTGTGTCGTGTGTTGTCTTC